TCAGCTTTTTAACTGCTAAAACAGAACATGGTTAGCAAATTTGGGAGTTTGAGCAGACATTACAGTAATTTGAGTGTGCTTTTCATTTATGTTGACCCTCTTGCCCTTGGCAAATTGAAGTGTAAGAAGCGACTTGAGATGGCATTGAAAATGATGCCTCCATATTGAGTTACAGACCAAGAAGAGAACATACTATCTAACCAGTAAAAGAAAGAGAAGGCATCAAAACACCGAACATAAAAAGCAACAGTAAAATAAAACTGGAAAACAATACAAAATGAATCAGCAGTAAAACTGCACATTCTGTTGGGTGCTACAAATACTTTTCCCTCCTTAGATCCCCTCCTTTTCCCCCCTTTGCAAGCCCTGGGATTCTGCCAAGCCTGCAAATATGTTCTTCTCGAGTGCCATTTTGGCCATATAAGACTCTATTCTTAGAGAACACGCTTGCTGTAGTATGGAGGATAGGTTTTTAAGTACAACTAGCAGCTTTAGTCCACTGCACACAAGACGCTCTTTTGTCTTGGGCCTCGCATGTATATCTAATCCCTGAAAATTGCCATTTGCTGCTGAGGGGGGAAATTCTAATTTGTGCCCTGGTTCATTGGTAGTTTTCATGTGTAAATGCATGGCAAGGCATTATTGTGAAAAGCACATTTTCTGCTGTGGTATTCGTAGCAGTTCTGCCATGGCTGTTTCCCACATTGCTTATCTGACAATGCCATATCAAAACAAGAATAGGGCACAGTTTTGGGTTCAGTTTGGGCAGCAGCTTGCTTTATGAAGCCCGTTGTAGTGCTTTGGTTTCTGTGTTGCTTAACTCAATTATGTAATGTGCCCATGTGTCAGGATGATTTTGTAGGTTGCAGTCGGTGAGGCTGGGCGTGAAGGCAGATCTTTACCTGCTGCGTGTTATGACAGATGAACCAGAACAATCCTGATGCAACCTGAATTCAGGTTTGACGTGCGAGCCTTTCTTTGCATTGCTCTCTCTTTCTCTCTCTTCGAAAGCAATGAGGAGAATCAAGGGTAGTTTCTGTGTAGCCTGAAGCCTCCAGACATGCATAAGTGGGAAGGAAACCAGCTTTCTTTGCTTTATGCACTTTGATAGATCAGCCGTAAAATTGGCTGAGTAGCGTACATGGCAAAACAATGACATTACACAGCACACTTGTTAGGATACAAGTTTAACAAGATAAAATCAGTCACTTTAAAAACAAGAGTAAGAAGAAAACCCAGCAGCACTACAGCAATTAAACAGAGCAGGAAAGGAGTGAATTGTGTACTGCTGAAATAGTGTTACACTACAGCACAGGTGAAAGGCTTGAGCAAACTGAAAGGCCTTTGCTTTGGCACTGAACGGACAGTCAGTAAGGCACCAGGTGGGCTTCCTTGGGGAGGGCATTCCGCAGTGTAGGGGCCACCAGTGATAGGGCCATCGCCATACCTTAAATCGCGGTAGCACTCAAAGAAGGGCCTCAGGGGCTGATCTCAAGGCATGGAAGCGCACATATGGGAAGAGTCGATTCTTCTAAACCAGGGTCTCGAAAATTTATTTGTGAATGGCTTTTCTTTAATCAAAGTATATTTTTGCTCCACTTTTAGGAAAGCAACTTTGCCTACTTAGAAGTGGTCTTGTACCTGGGTGCTGTACAGGGAAACCCCACCTCCCAATCCTAATCTATACTGACCTCAAGTGAACTCAGTATATTTTGATTTTAGGGTGCATGTATATGAGAGCCAGTGTGGCATAGTGGTTAAGAGCATGGGACTGGAACTCAAGTGATCTGCTCAGCCATGGAGCCAACTGGGTGACTCTGGGCCAGTCACAGACTCACAACTCAACCTACCTCACAGGGTTGTTGTTGTGGGGATCTGATTAAGGAGGAGAGTACTTTGAGATTTTTCAAAAAGTAGAATATGAGACATAAATGTTGGGGAAATACAGGTATGTGAGGGGATGTCACATGGAGATGGGTAGAGAACTGTTCTCCCCTGCAGAGGAAGGCAGGGCACGCTCCAATGGAGCTAAGCTCAGGGAGCCAAGGTTCCATTTGGAAGCCAGGAAGCACTTCCGGACAGTCAGGACCCCGAGGGTGTGGAATGGGCTTCCCTGGGAGGTCGTTGAGGCCCCATCGGTGTGGGTGTTCAAGGAGAGGCTGGACGTCCACATGGTGGGCATGTCGTGAGCGGAGCCGGCTGGTGCCAGAGGTCAGACTAGATGGCCCGGGAGGTCCCTTCTGACTCGTTCTGTTTCTATGTTTCTATAAATAAATAAAGGAAGGAGGTACACATTCATAATTTTTCATACAAAATTTTCTAAAGCTAGGCATGCATATATTCCT